ACAGATGGGGAAACTAAGGGAATGGTGTAAAGAAAATCTGGCGCTACTGGCACACAGGGCCCTTCTGATCCACTCACCAAAAAGAAACATTGGATCAGAAGGGCAAAGTTATATCCTGGACACAGAGCCCATTGCTGGTCACTGCCAGCCCTGCTGAAAAGGCTGCCTGGATGCTGCCAGGTTCAAGTGGTGGCTCAGATAACCTATGGTGGGAAGAGCTGGTCCATGCCAGATCTGTGCTGGCATACACAGCTGGGGAGAAGCTGCTGAACATCCCAATCCCGCCACCCAGAAAAGCTTCTCTCCTGCAACTTTGTTGCCTGACATGAAAAGCCCTCCCTAAACTTTGCCAGAATTGCCATCAGCAGCAATTTTTCCCTTCGCTCATTCTGGTTATACTTAAGGGTGGAAATGGTAAAGTCCCATCCCCTGGGGACAGGATGGAGCTGCTGGCAGCCAGGCAGACAGGAGCAGTCAGGCTTGAGCTGGGGGCAGAGGTGACATTATCCTCGTTCCCACGTCACGCTGAGGGACTGCCTCTGTGAGCTGCTGATGGATTGGGCTGTCTTCATAATAGACTCACCAGAAAGCAAATGTCTGCACATACATAAATCATCAGCAGACTCCTGCAGCCCCTCAGCTAACAGAGGTACCCAGGTGCTGGGGATGGGAGGGCAGGTGGGCTCCTCCTCCCCTCTTAAAGCATATTCTGTGGTGAATTCATTGTGTGCCCAGTGAGGGTCGGGATCTGCTGCTGCAGATCCACAGGGCAGTGCAACTGTGGGGACACTAGTGCTGGGGATGGAGTGGTCACAGGGGAGAGTCAGACCTGGGGGTGCATAGGTGTGGTGCCAGTGCACCGTGTGATGCACCCAGTGCTGGAGGGCAGAACTGATTTGGGGAAGAACCAAGCTTGTGTCCATGGGAGAGTCCAGGACAGGGTTTGTTTGCAAGAGAGCATGTGGGAAAAGCAGGGAGTGCTTGGGACTGGGGCTGCTGGGGCTCACGGTGCATCTTGAGAAGACAGGAGCTGCATTTGCAGGGCCACTGGAGGAGCACTTGGTAGTGGGAGGAAGAGTTTGCAGCAGGATGCTCCCACCCACGGGGCTGCAAGGCTGTGCTGCACCATGCCACCAGGACTCCAGCCCTTCCCACAGCTCCCAGCCCCCCTCAGCCCCCTCGTGCTGCTGGGTACAGGCCCCTACCTGATCACGAAGCTGTGTGCATCGATCTCGGGGCCGCAGCCGCTGCTGAGCAGGACCCCCGAGTTGCCCACAATGGCACAGGTGGGGAACTGCTTGCCCTGGGGGGGGGAGGTGCGGGGCAGCAGCTCATACAGGTTCTGGGAGACATTCATGGTGCTGTCCCTGTCAAAGACATAGTGGATGATGTCCCCTGGCTTCAGCGTCCCCTTCAGCACCGAAATGTCCTTCTCTGCATCCAGGAACTTCAAGATCTGTTTCCTGATGACAGGGAAGAGAACAGCCCCATCAGGTGAGGTACAGACATAACCTGGGTCATAGATAAGATGACCTCTTGCCTACTGGTTGCCCTCACTGTGTGGCCAGTCCATCTGACCAATGCTCTCCAAGAACACCTTACAACCAGGTATCTCCATCCTAACACCTGCTCCTTCTCCACCCATCCCTTCCCAGTGCAGGCTAGCACAGGTCAGCCCACCATCAGTGGGGATCCCCACATTTATCCCAGGAAGTGGGTCCCTTTCCCCCTCCGTGACCCGCCGCCAATGAACACTAATCACACTTTGCCTGGAAAATGGGGGCCCGAGTGCTCTGTGTTTTGTTGCCACAAGACCAGCTGGTTCAGCCAGGAATTCATTTCCAAGCGATTGCTGACAGATACAAGGCTGAGCTCTGCAGGAGATAAGCTTTTTACTTCTTCCTCGAATTTTTTAGATGATATACAGAGGCAATCTGCCAGCTCACACCAGAGAGGACCATATCTGTCTGTTGTCCTAGAGGTAATTACCAGTACCTGATCTTCAAAGAGAGTGTCTGGTTGTGTCTCCATTTGGGTGAGGCTGGTTTAATGTTGTGCTTAATGCTTTCATTACTTCTGTCAACAACAGCTGGAGACGAAGAGTCATTTATTACTACTTCGGCTCTAGAGAAAAGAAAGACAGGGAGAGGGAGGGAGACATGATCCGTTAGCATCCCAATGGTACTTCTAATCACTGTCTTAGGCTCTGGCTGCTGGAATTCAAATTTCCTCAGAAAAGCAAAATTGTAGTTATTAGCTAAACAAGAACTGAAAGCCTGTTTGTATTCTGCTACACTCAGACAGACACAAATCATTAAATACAGGAACACAGACTTACAGCCAGGCACAGCACAACAGAAAACACCATCTTGCACACCTAGCTGTAGAAAGGCATGCACACAAAAACACAAGCAGGCTCTGCAAAGACAGGTTGGCAGGTGGACGCTTGCAGCCAAGACAACCTAGAGCCCCAAGGAGCCCCCAAAATTCCCCATTTCCTACGTGGGCAGTCAAGGTTGTTGCTCTGCTGCCTTGTGGTCGCACATGAACACCCCAAAGTGGAGCCAGCTCGGCTCCTGCAGCGGGTTAAAATCAGAGAAGTGCAACCTTCACTTCACCTAAAGGAGAAATTAATTTAGCTGAGCTGCTGGGTGCTCCTTGTGAGGTGGGGCTATGAGCACCTTGTACTGAGCAGGGGAAGGCTGGCTTGCTAGGAGCTTTGCACCCCGTTAGAAGAAAGCATGAGGATTTCAGCATTCATACCACCTGCTCCAGACTCAGGAATGAGCAGCAGGATGGGCAACAACCAGATCCTGCAGCTTGGAGACAATCACTGGGACACCCCAGCTTTTAATCCCTGCCCTAAGAAGCAAATCAGCCCTAGCACTTCAATGCCATTTAGATCAAATGGCATGAATTAAGAGAGCCTCTGAAGATTTTATTCCAGCCAGCCCCCTCCAAAGAGAATACCCAAGTATCTCATCAAGAAGCTGTGCAAGTGTCTGCAGCCCTGAGAAAACCTTCACACTTCAGAGCACTCTGAAAAATACACAGCCAAAGCACTCACCATCAGCTAAAGGGAATCTCCCCCTCCAGTGCAAAGAGCTTTTTCCAGCTGGGAAATGGTTTGTAAATAAATACATTTATAAAAAGTGTGTAAATGCTAAGGAGGGAGATGAGTGAGAGATGGGACAGAGCTGGCAGCCCAGGCTCATGGGCTCCCTGGGGCACACCTCCAGCCCAGGCAGGGAGCTCCCAAGGGCTCGCTGTGGCTCACCCTATGTAATGGTTCAGAAAGGCAAGGAAATATGTTTATAAACACTTTGTGGACTCGTGTGTGTTTGCACAGTACCTTTCTAGAGGCTGCCAGTCGAGGCTGTTGGATTTGTTCACATCTTGCATTTTGCCAGATCACCTCGTGTCTTGCAAAACTTACCCCAAAGGTGTCATAAAGGGAACGGGGTAAAAAAATCTTGGGAATAACTACCATTTGTTTGTTTGTTTTGTCCATTTTCTGTGTTTTGACCTTTGTGATGACATCATCCTTCCTTTCTTGTGTGGTGTCACCAAGCTCTGCCACTGTGCCCCCGGGTAACGCTGGCCTGACATGAAATGGTTGTAAAAATCACACAGAGAGACACTGAACTGCGACGCCAAGAAATGACTCTGCAATGGAGCAACGTTACACAAGTGCATGATGATAAAACCAAATGAAGTTCTGATGTCAAAGACAGCGATGCCTCTTCCAACAGCACGTAGTAAAACTAGAAGAATGGCAACTCTATCACTGACTTATTTTCACAATAAGTAACTCTCTCCTTCTCATTCTCTCAATCACTGCAACTTGCAGATTCTCGGTTATTTGCAAATGATTATTACACTGAGCTGGGGGAAGGAGGGGGGAAACGATTAAGAAAATGCAAAGCAGAAGTGAAAAGAAACAGATACATTTGCTAAATAAGAGCAGCACTATCCAGCGAAGAGGAGAAGCAGATTAATAGCTGCCTTACAGCAAAAACAAATGAACACAAAATCTAATTTACAAACCTATTAGATTTGCTATGTAAGCTGTTCACAGCTGATCTGATTGTACCTCTGCCTCCAGAACTCCTGCAAGACAAAGGAAATGCATTATTTATAAACCCGGCTCCTCTTTGCCAAGCATTGTTCAACAGTCAAGAGATCCTGCTCTGAAGGGCTCCGGAGACACTGCTGTGCCACTCACATCCCACCCCATCCAGAAGAGAGATGTCCTGATGCCCATGAAGAGCTTTTCACATCCACTGTCATTGCTGCCCTACTGTGACTGTAAAATCATTCTGCAAAAAAAGCTCCTAAACAACCCAATTAATAATACCTGCGCATCTAACCAGCCGTCAAAGACATCTGGTCCCTGTCATCAAAGCAGCATGCAGTCTACAGGTTGCATTAAATACATCTCTGCTTTTTGGGGTTTTTTTAGGAGTCAGATGTTAGTAGTGCATAGAGAAGGTCTCCTCCATCTCCAGGCTGCCAAGGGACTTCTCCTGTCCTTCTAAGGTGGAGACTGAGCTGGATGATCTGGACAGGATTCCCACCATTATTTTCATCTTTGGCTTTCAGTTTGGACCATCCAACATCTCCATTTTACCCAGGCCAAGCCACCAGCCTCCTGGGTGACTTGTGGAGACCTCGTCCTCACCTTCTTCTGGCTACCAGTGACCCAGGACAGACTCAGGCCTTGTTTCAGCCCCCTCCAATCCTATAAGCACCTTGAAGCCCCTTGTCCTCACCTTCAGTATAATCTGGCTGAACCTATGAGGCCAACTCTATTGTCATTCCCATGGCATGACACCACTGCACAAAGATGGGTGGCAGATCTTCTGAGAAGACCTGTGGTCATGGAGAGCCAAAGTTTCCAGCACCAGGCTGATGCTATAATGAAGAATTTCAGGGACCAAGCCCCTTCAGAAACCAATGCCACTCATACAACCTGCCAATCCTCCTGTAAAAATAAACACATACAATACTGTTCTGCACCTGGTTGGCTGCAGAGCTCCTTCTGGCTACAGCTTGCTATTTTCAAAGGGGTTACAAAGAACCAATTGCCCACTTTGTGATGCTCAATGGGAGCTGGGTTCCAAGACTGACACATTTTAATTGCCACATGCTCATTGCTTGGTTTTGTTTCCATTGCACAAACATCCAAATGAACAGGCTCATAAAGAGAACCAGATTCTCTTTCAGCAGAAATATTGTTAACTGGAAATATATACCTTAGTGAACATGTATCCCAGGAGCACATATTCCTACCAGTCCAGAAAAAAATCCCAAATGCATTAAGCATAAATGAAAAAGAAATGAGTGCGTGAACATTTGGTGCCATCAAAAAAGAGTTTCAGACTTGCAGAATGCAATGTAAATCCCTTTGTTATGTTGAGCACAGCCCTCAGCACTGCATAACATCAAACCCTTGGAAATGCCATGATGGTTGCCCCTTTCCTCCCCCCTGCTGGAGACCATCTATGGCCAAGTCAGAGTGATTCCTGCTCCAGCACTCTCCTCTTTCCTTTAACAGACTCGAGACTGTGAGCGGTTTCATTTTTTGGTGCATCAAGGGAACAGCAGGACTAGTTTATTCCTAGAGCCTACTGGCATTTAACAAGCCTCCATTTAATGGGGTTCACTGCAGGGTGTGGGAGCAGACTGGATTAGTGTGCAAATCACGCATCCTTTCAGAGAGGTCTATTCTGAAGGAGCCTTCCAAATGGGATTCACACTCCTTCACACTTGCTGTAAGACAGATAGGGACTAGATTAAGGGCTTAAAAAAGAAATGTTGCTCCCCACATAAATGCTGGTTCACAAACTCTGCAGAAGGAAAAAAAATAAATCACAGAAATCGGGAAGTGGAGAACACCTATTAGCTCCCACCTCATCCATGTTTTGCATCTACAGCCAGGCTGATCTGAAGCATCACAACTCATTATTCAAATGCATTTATCCAATCTATCTTCACAGGCCCCCAGCGACAGGCCTGTGCATGTCTCCTCCTGAAACTCAGGCAGGCATCAGGGCTGGAGATGCTGGACGCGAGGAAGTCAAGTTAAGAGCACATCTCCCAGCTCACTCTGTGTAGAGGTGGTGGGGAAGGAGGTCGGCCGCCCAGATAACCCTCTCAGCAGCCTCTCAAGGGCTGTTTCATGGATTACTCTTTCCACTGAAACGCAGAACTTTTCAAAGTATCATCATGCAAAGATGGCACAAAGTGTTCTGTTGCCATATATGAACACGGAGGGGAGGAGAGAGCAGGGCTCTGATAGCCATCTTCCTGTGACTTGCTCCACTGCACAGGGCTTTGCTGGCCACAGCCACCACTCTAGGGCAGCATCTGGCCCCGACGCACACAGGATGCCCTTGGTGGACACCTAAGATGCTGGCAAAGACACTGCTCCCTGTACCAGGCTTGGTTTCTCTCTCCAAGACATGGTATTGCCCAAAGCTGGGGCATACTTAGCTGAAGGTCTCTGCTGATTTATTGAACCCTAAAATGCTCCTCTTACTTCTAAACCATTTGGCCCATTGTGTCTGACACTGCAACTTCTGGACACCTTCCCTTCAGTTTCCTTTTAGTATAAAGACAACATGCACTGTGAATACAAAGCCAGGGGTGACACTGCCCTGTCCAGCCCTTCTGCTCAGCTCAGCCCACCCGTGGGTACCAGCCAGGCAAACCAGCTGCTCAGAACACCCATAGTTGAGCCAAATGTGGCATTTCCCAAGGTCTGCCATACTTCACTACCAACACAGGAAAGCCAGCATCACTGCACTGCTTCACTTCTCCCACCTAAGGAAGAGGAAAACATTAAGAAATGGAAGGCACTAATTAAGAGGCACACTTCAAAAAAAAAAGAAAAAAAAAAGAAAAAATCAGTCCATTTTATTACACCTTTCAGACCTGCAGCTTCAAATCTCCTGGCTTCAAAAGGCAAAGGCCAACCTCGATTAAAATTGCACAGATAGGCATTGATTCTGAAAAGCTTTCTACTGCTACACCGTGTTTAGATTGAATTGCCTTATTAATCTAGTTGTTATCAGTTTGATTGTATAGCCAGCTCCACAAAGTACCAACCTGCCTCTTAATCCTATTATTTACAAAATGCTCTTCTTTTGACTTCTGTCAGGATGTTTTCCAGTGATATGTTGCATCTCCATGTGCTAATGCCATATTACTGGCTCATGCCATCCATTCTCATTTTTGCTTTGAGATTTTCAAGCTGAATTTTCACTATCTAAAATATTATATAGGTCAAAACACCCTGTGCTCAGATGTAAAGTGACACTGATTCACATATCAGGGAATAAGAAAGAAAAATTGTCTTATGGTTCTGGTCCAAATTTTCGTGGATGAATAATTCCTGACAAATCAGACATGCAAAGACTTTTCTATTCACCCACTATGAATGGGCTGTTTAGGGGTTTTGCTTCCCTTTTCATCGTTTCCCACTTAATAAATGATTATCTTAATTGTTGCTAGATATGACTCGGTCCTGCTTGGAGCAATTTCGATACATGAAATCAAAGCTGCTTTGACTGAACAAGTAGGTCACCCAGTCTCTTTGGGCAAGAGGATCTCTAAGAGCAGGCTTTACACATCCATATATTCTCAGGCTTACAAATTAAAAAATGTGTTTTCCATGGATATTTTACAATACCCACCTCCAATTCCTGCCTCTCCCCAGCCTCTGTGTCAGGGAATACACAGGGGAAGTGGGTACGAGAAGTAGGAACTACCCAGAAACTTCAGCCATACCCAATCACCAACAGAGACACATTTGTGGAGCCCATTCCTGATGGACCAAAATCTCTGCTTCTTCCTGATCTTGGGCAACCTAAGTTCTTGACCAACCCATCTCTCTCATCCACTTAAAAGAGATAATAACATCTCTATAACCCCTTCCCTTGGGGGATTGTTAAACAGAATTTATTCATCTGAATTCCACAGAAAGAGAGTTCAGAGTGCCACAGTTTTAACTGAGTTCAGATTATTAACACCTACTAATTAAGTTTTCACAACCTGCTTTTGTATTAGGAGCATTTTATGATCCTTGTTTTATGGCTGGGACAGTGGGGGTGAAGTGGCTTGGCCTGTAACACCTAAGACAGTCCCACAAGTCAGGACAGGAGCAGGCACTGTGGGCTTACAGCAGACCTGTGCTCTCGAAAATGCTGCTCTTTACTTGCTGAAAGCAAGTACAGCCCTTGCTGGGTGAGAGGGCAGGACACACCACACAGAGGATCATGCAAATGATCTGAAAAGGTCTTACTAGTTTGAAGTGCACATGTAGCCACCGGTCTCCTGAAATGGCTGCAGGCTGCAAGCCATGTTTATTTAAAAAACAATCACCAGGTACATAAACTTAGGTTTTTAAGGGTTGCTCTGATACAGTCCTCAAGACTGTAACTTCTTTTTTCTATCTGTAAAGCATCTGAGTATGATGGCAGGCCTGGTCAGGGACCACCACTCCCAAAAACACTGCCCCCTCAACCCATGGGCTGTCCCTGGGGCAGCTAGGTGGGCAGGGGATGCAGAGCAGGATGCTCACAGACCCTCTGCAAGAAGTTGCTTTGTGGCTAGATGGACCCAGGCACTGTAACTAACAGTTTTGGGGAAAGAGAGATGCTGCCCAGCCACTGAAAATGAAATACAAACACATAAATCACCCCCCTCCTCTCAAACTCAATATAGATTTTGCTCCTGTAGACACTCACAGTGATATATAATCTCATGTGCATTCACGGGCATAAGCCAGACCGTGCAACACCAGGGATGAGCTGGCATCTTCATGCCCTTCTTAGAGATGGGCTTGGATGCACCACAGGTGAGCGAATTAATTTTGCTGACTAAGAGCAGTACAGTCATTAAGCTCAGCCACGTGCTCCCCGAGTCCTCAAAGGTGAAGCAGGATTTGCTCTGACCACTGCTTGGGATATAGATTTAAATTCTCCCTCCTCTTCTCTGAAATTCAGGTTTTGAGACCAGCAAAGTAGCAAATGCTACTCCAGGGCTTTGAGGGAAGAAATGGTTACATTTCCAAGTTGTCTACAAACGGGAAAATGATTGGCAGCCAAGTGCCAACTTGTCCAGCCCGTCCCACAGGCTGGGGAAGCAAATGTGCCCAGGGAGCCCAAACTGAGCAGGAACCAAGCCCAGAGGATGAAAATAAGGATTCCTTGGGGACCATAATGTGGCTTTCCATCTGCACATCAGGGTTTTATTGAAAAGATGGAAGAAGGCCACACTCACAGACAAGTGCCCTTATGAGCTTCTCACTAGACACTCAAGTGGTTTCTGCAGGGTTTAGGTCAAAGTCCTCCCATATCCATGAAATACTATCACAGGAGAGAAAAAATTTGGAGAGGAAAGGCTTCAATGCTGGTTAGCCCCACATGTAAACCAGCTTGCAAACCAGAAAGAAAAGCCAAAGCCAGGTGAGAAATGATGAGGCCAGAGATGTATTTTTGAACCTTGGGATCATGTACAAGCACAACATCACACACCTGCTCTAACACCTGGGCTCCCCCCTCCAGAAACGCAGCTCTCACAGGCTCCTTTCTTGTCTCACCTCCCTGTATCACTTCCCATAACACACCAGGAGGAGCGAGGACATCAGACACTTGCAGATCACTCCCCATGACATTTCACCAATCAGTTTTGCAGCTTTTACCCCAGCACGTGGAGGAGATTGTGATGAAGGGAAGTGGTGGCTGTTAGGTAGCCTCGTGTACCTGCAATTGCCTGGCGAGCACGGTTCCCTCTGTAGAGATTCATTGGAAATACATTTCTACTGCATTTATCTGCTAGGATGAAAGATCCCCTGATACATCTTGATGAGACATTTGAAATCGCACTTCGATGTGTTTAAAATCTCACTTGTTCATATTGTCACATCTTGGCAGCCTGAGTGTCAAAAACTTCCTAAATATCAGGTGCTATTTTTGCTGCTCCAAGTTTAATTCTTTCCATCGAGTCATATGACCACGTTTGGGACTGTGCCTGTACCATGGCTTTCAGGAAGACCACCTTGTCCTGCTGGGGGCCTGATGGAGCTCTGGTACATGAGCAGTGTTAGTGCAGCCTGTCTGGGGGTGTAGTCTCTTCCAGCAAGCCAAGGAGACTCAGTATAAAAGCAGCAGTTACTCAGGGTGCTTGCTATGACCCACCACGGGGAAAGGCAGATCTGTCAGTCTCATTCAAACCAGCTCTGCTAATCTTTTTTGCCTCCTCCCATACCCCAATCCCACCTCCATCACATCACCCATCCTGCGGGCTCCTTCCCAGAGACCATAACAAGATGGGAAGGTGCTCAGCATCCCTACCTGTCAGGCAGCAACTGTGGCTCCACATCAGGTCCCAGGAAAATGGGAGCAGCCCTGAGATTTCTGCCTGGCTGCAAATCATGGTGTGTAATCGTTGCAAACATGTGCTGAGGATGCAGGAATCAAGACATATGAGTTTGCAAAACAGAGACACCTATTGCCTAATAGGGAATAAGCCAATTAGGCTGAAACGCTTATGTGACAAAACTGGTGAGGAATCAGCAGG